TGGGCCCAGGAGTTGGAGGCTACAGTGAGCTGTGATTATACCATCGCACTCCAGCCTAGGCAACAACATCCGGTCTCTACAAAAAAAGGTTTTTTTGTTTGATTTTTTTTTTTTTAAGAGATTATTGATAGCCAGATGAGGTGGCTTACATCTGAGCACAGTGGGAGGCAGAGGCTAGAGGATCACCTCAGCCTAGGAGTTCAAGACCAGCCTGGGCGACAGAACACTGTCTCAAAATCAATCAATCAATCAAACAAACAAACAAAACAACAATGACAAAAACAAGTTCTATTACCGACTTTACTCCAGGACTCACCTGGGACACCCCAACCCTGTCCCACCTCCCTCATCACTCTGCTGTTCTCCAGGGGAAGAGACCCCCACATCTGTGCGTGAAAGGCCAGGGGCACCATCACAGAGTGGCTTGGGGGACAGAGAGGCCCCAGAAACTGATGGGATGAATTGTGCCATCCTAAATTATCAAAAAGTTACTGTACATTAAAAAAAAAATGCTAAATTTAGCCAAGTCATGTCACAAGATGCTAATAAGGCCAATGACTAAATTATGTAACTTTTTTATTTCTATAAAAATATGCTTTTGCTGTGAACCTAAACTGCTCTATAAAAAGTCTATTAAAAATATGCTGTGTCATTCAACTTTTAAAACAGATTTAAAAATTAACTGACTTCAGAAAGCCTGTTCCTATAAAAGATTTCTACTTTAAAAAACATAGCTTATGGAGTTCGAAGGGATCAAGTTTAACTACCAGCTGAACCTCAGGATAAAACAGACTTTGTTTTGTATAATTATATTAACATTAGAAGATCTGCATAACTCAACCAGTATTCTTCCCAATGGCCAATGCATGATATTACAAAATCACACAGGGGGGCAAAAGATTCATTCAAAATGAAAGACAGAGCAATGAGCTTTAATGTAACACAGTACAAAACATCCATGGACATAGCAGAGGGTGACTTAAGACCAGGAGTTTGAGACTAGCCAGGGAAACATGGCAAGACCCCATCTCGACCAAAAAAAAAGAAATAAGCTGGTCTGGTGGCACTCACCTGTGGTCCCAGCTACTCAGGAGGCTGAGAGGGGAGAAGTGCTTGAGCCCAGGAGGTCGAGGCTGCAGTGAGCTATGATTGCACCACTGCACTCCAGCCTAGGCAACGGAGCAAGACACTGTCTCAAAAAATAAATAAATAAAGAGAGACTACCCAGCCAGCACCGTGGCTCATGCCTGTAATCCCAGCACTTTGGGAGGCCATGTTAGGCAGATCACCTCAAGTCAGGAGTTTGAGACCAGCCTGGCTAACATGATGAAACCCTATCTCTACTAAAAATACAAAATTAGCCAGGCGTGGTGGCACATGCCTATAATCCCAGCTACTCGGGAGGCTGAGGCAGGAGAATTGCTTGAACCTGGGAGGCGGAGGTTGCAGTGAGCCGAGATGGTGCCACTGCAAGACTCCGTCTCAAAACAAAACAAACAAGCAAAAGAAACTATCCCTTGTCAGGTTTTAGTGAGGGATCAAGGATCATCCACAGTATCTGAAAAGGCTACTAAAATACTCCCTTTTCCAACTACGTATCTGCAGGAGGCTGGCTGGTCTCCATGTACTTCAGCCTAAACCACACATCACAGCCAACTCAAAGCAGAAGCAGCCATGGATTCCAGCTGCCTTCTATTAAGCCAGACATGATAGATTCTACCAAAAAACCTCTTAGTCTATTTTTTTGAGGGGGGAGAATTTAGTTTTTTTTTTCAATAAAAATATTTTTGAGGCTGGGTGCGGTGGCTCAACCCTGTAATCCCAGCATTTGGGAGGCCGAGGCGGGCGGATCATGATGTCAAGAGATCGAGACCATCATGGCCAACATGGTGAAACCCCGTCTCTACTAAAAATACAAAAATTAGCTGGGCGTGGTGGTGTGAGCCTGTAGTCCCAGCTACTTGGGAGTCGGAGGCAGGAGAACTGCTTGAATCCTGGAGGCGGAGGTTGCAGTGAGCCAAGATCGCGACACTGCACTCTAGCCTGGCACCTGGCAACAAAGTGAGACTCTGTCTCAAAAAAAAATTTTTATATACACACACACATATATATATATATATATATATATGTATATAAATAGTTATTGCTATTTTTGAGCAGATGAAGAAATATGTATATTTTAATTTCTAATATGGTCAGCATCAACAGACATAGCTCATATAAACCAAAGCTCTTTGGGGTCCCCAGGAATGTGTAGGAGTATCAGAGTATAAAAGGGCCCTGAGACTAAAACAAATCTGGGAATTGCTGGTTTAAGCAGAGAACATCCAGCAGCCATTCTGCCCCCAAAGAGAACCATGCCCTTTGACACTTAGGGGAACAAGATAGGGGAGGAACTTCAAAATACCAGGGTCTCTGCTGAAGGGCAGGGCCTCACCCCCCTGGATACATGGGAGCCATTGAGGTTTCCAGGCAGGGCAGCAACATAATCAGAGTGCAGCATCCTCTGAGGACACAGATAACAGACAGTTCGTACCTCTGTCTCCAGTAAGGTTAAATGCAGATACTTCTTAATCAAATCATGTGTAAAATCCTCATCTGGGTCAGGCATGGTGGCTCACGCCTATAATCCCAGCACTTTGGGAGGCTGAGGTGGGCGGATCATTTGAGATCAGGAGTTCAAAACCAGCCTGGCCACCATGGTGAAACCCCGTCTCTACTAAAAATACAAAAATTAGCTGGGGCGCCTGTAATCCCAGCTACTCGGGAGGTGGAGGCAGGAGAATCACTTGAACCCAGGAGGCAGAGGTTGCAGTGAGCTCAGATTGCACCACTGCACTCCAGCCTGGGAGACAGTGAGACTCTGTCTCAAAAAAAAAAAAAAAAAAAAAAAAAAAAAAAAAAAAAAAAAAAAAAAAAAAGAAAAAGAAAAAGAAACCCATCTGTATTCTGTATGTTTATTGATCAGTTTGTCTATCTCCTGAAAATTATTCTTAGAAAAGCTATGCATTTGCAAGCAGTGTATGATTTAATGATAGAACTGTTATGTTTAAATAAAGCAAAACATGCCCAAACTCATCTTCACAGCATCCGAGGAGAAAACATGTATCGTCAACACTGTAGAAATGGGTCTCGGATGAGGTGAGTTCTTTTTTCTTTTTCTTTCTTTTTTCTTGAGACATAGTCTCACTCAGTTGCCAGGCTAGACTTGATCTTGGCTCACTGAAACCTCTGCATCCTAGGTTTAAGCGACTCCTACTGTCTCAGCCTCCTGAGTAGCTGGGATTACCGGCGCGTGCCACCACACTTGGCTAATTTTTGTATTTTTAGTAGAGTCGAGGTTTCACCATGTTGGCCGGGAAGGTCCTGATCTCTTGACCTTGTGATCCACCTGCTTCAGCCTCCCAAAGTGCTGGGATTACAGTTGTGAGCCATCGCGCCTGGGTGAGGCAAATTCTTAAACCCTGGTTCCTCAAATCCTGGGAGCACGCCGAATGCCTTCTTGGTTTCGCTTTGTAAATTCACCAACTACACTCACACGCACATTCTGTTTTCATCCTTTCTAATTACCCGGCAACATTTTACCAGGAAACTAGAAACTCATGGAAAGTAATAGTTGCAATGAAAATTAACTACAAGATGGCCCAACAAGTCACAATGCAGGGGCCTATTTCCAGGAAATCAAAGTAACAGCATTTTATATAATCCTCTCATTTTAATATGAAATGCTTTAAATGTAGGGTAATTATGGAAATGAGGCATTGCTGCAATTTGGGTTGTCATTAATTTAGCAAGTTTATCCTCTGACATTCACAAGATGCAAAAACAGCAAATCGTAAATTACTCTATCTCCAAATCAAATGCTTTAGTTTCATTTCAGCACATAATTTTAAACATAGCTGCGTCTTTTCCAAAAGTACTAAATACGAACACCACTACATTCTACACTTTTAGCACCACAAACTCTATTCCCCGTCAATATGACAAAGGCTTTCATGCGGATGTTCTAGATTCAGTTCAACAATACTACATGATAACACCCTTCTCATAGATTGACTTTTAACATTCTACATAAGTTTTCTTAAATGCGCAGCAAGCTGAAAAAATTCAACATGAACCAAATACTAGAAGTGGCTCATATTTTTAACACAGACCCAACGTACTTGCCACGCGCCCACAACCCTTTTTAAAGTAACTTTTAACAAGTTGACAGTCTCACTTGGAACAAATATATGTGATACACAATAACTGCCAACTAGCAAAAAACCAGAATAAAGCCTTTATTCGGAGATGCCGCATTTCGCATTTTGACTATCAAGATACAACCGGACTGAAACTAAAGCTTCACCCCCCTCCGGGAAGCAGCTCCCCTCCAGCCTCTGCAGAAGTGACCGTTCTCCCCGGCTCTGTTTCAAACCATCACTCAACGGGAACATTCCTTCCTTCAGCAGATCCTCCCTGGAGAGCAGATCTGGGTGCAGATCTGGGGCTGCAGGTCTCAGGACAGGCCTTTGTCTCCTCCATGGCTTCCTTCACTAGGAGACCAACCCTCCCTAATCACAGCCCTTCCCTGCCTTTCTCACTGCAGGTTGATCCTTCATATGGAGAAGACAGTCAGCAACACCTGAATTTTCACATCTACCCGCTGGAAAGAGACTGATCTGACAGTCTCTTGTCCCAAGTACAAAACCAAGCATGACCCAGGCACTGGGTCACCTAAGGGGATGGGGGAGGGCAGTGACAAGGCTGGGAAAACCCCAGGAGAAGAGGAATGCCATGACGGTCCCTTGATGCCAGATAGTGGGGCGTTGGGCACAAGCTTACTGACTTCCCTACATCTGGGTGACTTTCCAGTTAATTTCAAGATAATGTCATGTCAATCTATAACGAATTGTATGATGGTTATACAATGTATAAAACTAATTTGATATTCTTCAAGTGACCAGTTGGAAATAGCCATGAGAAACAGGCTTCCGTATGTTTTATTAATTAATGTTTCAGGTCAGACAGGTAACGTGCCGACATCGTACCAACGTTCCAGGGTGGCACATTTCACACACCGTGTGAAAACACCCAATCATCATGCTCATGAACTACAAAACGATCTCTGGATGTTTTTAAAGGGGCTAAAACATTTATGTAGTAAAATGCTTTGGTGGTTACAATTAATTACTTCTTCTCATGGCACGTGTGCAGAGGCTGTGATCCATAACACCTGCCATTCACACTACGCCTCTCAGCAGGTGGAGCATGGCAACCCGGCCATGTATCCGAAGCTGGCAGCTAAAATGAACCACAAAAAAGTACAGGTGCCTGGGTGCAGTGGCTCACGTCTGCAATCCCAGCACTTTGGGAGGCAGAGGTGGGCAGATCACCTGAGGTCAGGAGTTCAAGACTGGCCTGGGCAACATGGCAAAACCCCCTATCTACTAAAAATACAAAAATTAGCCAGGCGTGGTGGTGGACACCTGTAATCCCAGCTACTTACTTGGGAGGCTGAGGGAGGAGAACTGTTTGAACTTCAGAGGCAGAGGTTGCAGTGAGCTGAGATTGTGTCACTGCACTCCAGCCTTGGCAACAAGAGTGAAACTCTGTCTAAAAAAAAAAAAAAGTACAGGTGAGAACAAATTAAGGGACCCAGGCAATGACCACCAAAAGCTGCTAATGTTACAAATGGGGGACATCCAGACATTTTCACCTCCGCACACACCACCACCTATAAGGCAGTTCTGGCAGAAAAGCAAAACAAAACACCTGAGTCTGATCAAATCCCCGGGTCTAGTAACCAATTTACAGAAATGACAAGGGGGAGGGACATAGTGAATGGATGCTGCCAGAATCCAATCTGTAAAGGCAGGTGTGGGGAACTACATGGGACAAATGACCTCACGAGAAAAAAAGCAGGGGGTGCTGGATTCAGTGGCTCACACCTGTAATCCCAGCACTTTGAGAGGCTGAGGCGGGCAGATCACTGGAGGTCCAGAGTTGGAGACCAGCCTGGCCAACATAGTGAAACCCTGTCTCTACTAAAAATACAAAAATTAGCCAGGTGTGATGGGGCATGCCTGTACTCTCAGCTACTCAGGAGACTGAGGCAGGAGAATCACTTGAACCCGGAAGGCAGAGGTTGCAGTGAGCTGAGATCACGACACTGTACTCCAGCCTGAGCGACAAAGCGAGACTCCGTTTCAAAAAAAAAAAAGAAAGAAAGAAAGAAAGAAATAATCATGCAGACAGTAAGAGAAACCTGCAGACTGATTGAGGACAGTAAGAAATTATTATTCATTTTTTAGGTGTGATAATGACATTGTGGTTAAGTTTTTTGTAAAAAAAGAATTATCTTCTAGAAATTTTGGTTGAAATATTTACAGACAGAGAAAGATGACATCTGTGATTTGCTTCCAAATAACTGGGACGAGGGGGAAAGGTGAATGGGGGTAAAGATAACACAAGTCTGGCCACCAGACGATAGCTACTGACGCTGGCAGCAGGCATGTGGAAGGAAGCTCATTACGTTTGAAACTGACCATGATAAAAAAGTGTGTTTTTAAAAAGCAGCCGGGTGGACAGGCGCAGTGGCTCAAACTTGTAATCCCAGCACTTTGGGAGGCCGAGGCAGGTGAATCATGAGATCAGGAGATCGAGACCATCCTAGCTAACAAGGTGAAACCCCATCTCTACTAAAAATACAAAGAATTAGCTGGGTGTGGTGGCATGAGCCTGTAATCTCAGCTACTTGGGAGCCTGAGGAGGAGAATCACTTGAACCCGGGAGATGGAGGTTGCAGTAAGCTGAGATCCTGCCACTGTACTCCAGCGTGAGCAACAGAGTAAGACTCTGTCTCAAAAAAAAAAAGCAGCTGGGCATGGTGACTCATGCCTGTAATGCCAACACTTTAGGAGGCCAAGGTGAGAGGATCGTTTGAGGCCAGGAGTTCCAGACTAACCTGGGCAATATGGCAAAACCTGTCTCTAAAAAATTCAAAAACAATAAAAAAAAAGTAACCATGTTCACTGCAGACAATATGGAAAACACATAAAAGTATAAAGAAAAAAAGATACCCATATGACTCTTACCACTGAAAGTTATCACAAACAGAAGTCTTGTTCTCACTGTTAATTATTCAAGTAATCTACATTTACTTTAAAAATACTGGGGAAAAAGGCTGCAGAAAAAGAGGGGAGAGCAAGTATGGGATATGGTCGGGTCTCTTAGGTTCATGAATAAAGCACATTTTTTGAATTTTGAATTGGGTAATTGAAATTCAAAATTAAGTGCCATCAAGCCAAAATTGGCAGGGTGCTGTGGCTCACACCTGTAATCCCAGCACTTTGGGAGGCCAAGGCGGTGGATCCCCTGAGGTCAGGAGTTTGAGGCCAGCCTGGCCAACATGGTGAAACCCTGTCTCTACTAAAAAAAAAAAACAAAATACAAAAATTAGCCAGGTGTGATGGTACACGCCTGTAATCCCAGTTACTTGGGAGGCTGAGGCAGGAGAATTGCTTAAACTCGGGAAGCAGAGGTTGTAGTGAGCCGAGATCCCGCCCCTGCACTCCAGCCTGGATGACAGAATGAGACTCTGTCTCAAAACAAAAACAAAAACAAAAAAAGAATTCAGTTGGTATATTCACTATGTAAAAAAAAAAATTAAGTGGCATCAAGGACGACAGCACACACACGTGTGCACACACACCTCACACCCCTCTCCCCATAATGGAAGAAGGCTGTCTGAATTCCCCCACGACATACTCGCTGGTCCTTTTAGGACACCAGGCTAAATCAATGATGTTATTTTTCTCCTATGGAAGCTGAAAATTCATTAGTCCATTAATTTGTTCACTTGACAAACAGAACTCAGTTGTTGTGTACCTAATGCCAGCTAGTGCCTGCACCAGGTCTCTGGGGAAAGATTGTAAATTCTCGGCCCCAGCCACAGGGAGCTTATGGTTTAGAAGACACGCTACCACGGAGACCCAGGCAGTGCCTCCAAGTCAACACCAAGCAAGCCTGAATCAGAATCCACACACACTCTCCTGTGCCTGGGAGCTCTGGCGACATGCTCACCCACCACACACAGCGTCAGATACCCAGTAGACCAAGATCAGCTCTAAGCTGGGTCACAAGCCATTTTTCCCCCCGCCAATAATTAAGAATGTTGAAGATTTTGAATTATATACTTCCAGTAACAACTAGGGGTGAATTCTGGTATCCTTCCTGGATGGGAGGTGTACAGAGAGTGTGTATTACATGCACCTGATCCAAGGTGAAGAGGGCAGCCTGGGACGACATAGCTTCGGAAAATGGTGTGAGCACCAACACGACATGGACTTCCCACCAAATCCAAGCACGCTCAAGGCAATCACACTCCAACGCAGCAAGAGAATTTGTAGTTTACAGTAAAGAAATTCACAACTTCCAACAGCAATGGCAATAGAGGTACCAAAGCCCAAGAGAAAACAGACACAGTAATTCTTGACATTTGGTGATGAATTTCTCACTCAGGGGTGACAAAAACTTATGCATCTAACTTTCTTGCTCTGAATTCCTTAAAATTTCTTAATGACTTTTAATGTAACAGGGTTAAGAATCGTGGTTTTTGTGTTTGTTTTTGTTTGTTTGAGAGGGAGTCTTGCTCTGTCACCCACGCTGGAGTGCAGTGGCATGATCTTAGCTCACTGAAACCTCTGCCTCTCAGGTTTAGGGGAGTCTCCTGCATCAGTCTCCCAAGTAGCTGGGTTACAGGTGTGAGCCATGCCCAGCTAATTTTTGTATTTTTTGTAGAGATGGAGTTTTGCCATATTGGCCAGGGTGGTCTTGAATTCCTGACCTCAAGTGATCCAACCACCTTGGCCTCCCAAAGTGCTGGGATTACAGGCATGAGCCACCGCACTTGGCCAGGCTTAAGAATCTTTAACCGAAAAGAAGTTTATGACAGCCTGTTCTAACATATGTGACTAGTTACGAGTAAGTTTTCTAAAATTTTTTTTAAAAATGAGTTGGTGGCTCACACCTGTAATCCCAGCACTTAGGGAAGCTGAGGCAGGCACATCACGGGGTCAGGAGATCCAGACCATCCTGGCTAAGATGGTGAGACCCTGTCTCTACTAAAAATACAAAAAATTAGCCAGGCGTGCCTATAGTCCCAGCTCCTTGGGAGGCTGAGGCAGGAGAATTGCTTGAACCCAGGAAGCACAGTTTGCAGTGAGCCGAGATCGTGCCACTGTGCTCCAGCCTGGGAGACAGAGCAAGATTCTGTCTCAAAAAAAAAAAAAAAAATGAAACTGCTTGAACTAAACATTTTTGTTGACAGACTTTGGCAGCTTTCAGAAGCAAACAGCTTTACGGTTGGGCGAGTTGGCTCACGCCTGTAATCCCAGCACTTTGGGAGGCTGAGGCACGTAGATCACTTGAGGTCAGGAGTTTGTGACCAGCTTGGCCAACATGGTGAAACCCTGTGTCTACTAAAAAATACAAAAATTAGCCGAGTGGTGGCGCACGCCTGTAATCTCAGTTACTTAGGAGGCTGAGGCACAAGAATCGCTTGCACCTCAGAGGTAGAGGTTGCAGTGAGATAAGATTGTGCCACTGCACTCTAGCCTGGGTAACAGAAGAGACTTCATCTCAAAACGACAACAACAACAACAAAACAAGCAGCAGCAGCAAAGAGCTCTTCTCTAGGTGGGTGGACATGGACATCCATTTAATGTTTTCCTTCTGCGCATCTGCTCTGTTCTTGTAAATTTTAGACTGCTGCCTACATAGATATTGCTCACATGTGCAGGTGAAGTCAAATAAAAACAGACAGGCACAGTGGGCTGAGCACTTCACGCACATCTAATGCACCAAGTCAGCAAGCGGGCAACTGTTTAGCCTGACAGCTCTGCCATGATGCCCTATAATGTACCCACTAAGAACACGAGCTCCCTGGAGCATAAATGTGCAGGGACTGTATACACTGATAACATTTCATAAATAACAGACTTGTTACTGGCCTATTCAGTGACAACCTCAGGTCGAATTTTTTTCCCCTTGAGCTAGAAAAAAAATACTGTGAAAGCCTCCTTCAAGAGTCACTAAAGCTGTGTCTGACTGGGGAGTGTACCTG